AGGCATCAAAGTTAGGTGTTGCAATGCTGAACTTAAGTTCCCTTTGTGAATCTAGCCCTCTGTCTCATTTTCCCCATTCCTAAAATACCATCCGCAAAGAACTGTCAGGAGGCTAAATTCATTCATATTTGTGAAGTGCCGATTCCTTCAGAAGGAACAATATAGAAAGGCAAACTTTGGTTTATAGTAACACTGAATGAGATTAAATACAAGTGTAACTTCTATTAAAACGATACATCATGATAACAAAGGTAAACTGTATAGCACCCCCCTACACACACACACACACACTCACTCAGTCTTCCAGGGCCGCCTATGGGCTGCTCAGCAGTGAGCCAGAGAGCATGATCCTCTACTGGCCCCTATGCCAGGACCTGCACAGGATGTGCAAGTGCCATGGTGGGAGGGACAATTTCTCCCAAAATCTTATGACTAATGAAAGAGTAGTTAGAGGAAGATCGAATTGAATAGCTGTTTTTACCAAAGTAGATTAGATCTCCATCAAGCAGAAATTTTCTCAAAAAATATGCAAATAAAGCAAGTTAATAATGCATTTTATTTCTCAATCTGTTTATCAAAATGCTTATCTCTGTATGTTTCAAAGGTTGCTAAAACCAGATTTAGGAGACTATCCTCCTAAATATTTTTGACATATGAAAAAGAACACCTTTCTAACAGAAACAAACGTCTGGACAAGCACAAAAGTAATTAAAAGCCAGATAATTCAATGATGTGACATTAATTACATGAAGAAAAGTGGTGTGGATGAAAACATCCTCAAGACTGAAGGATAAAAACAAAGATGAATTATAGACAACCTCCTTCTTGAGATGCAAAATTCTTATTCCTAAAGCTCCCCATACCTGCTCTGACAAAGTTCCTCCTATCTTGGTGGGGCCTGCGCTTATTGGCAGATTTTCTTGCCCCAGAGATTCACCATGTGGGTTGGGGGAACAGCCCAGAGACCTTCCCCTCAGGAAGAACCCACAGTCCAGGTCAATTGGGAGGTTTGGGGGGAACCCGGGCCAGTCCTCTACTCCAGGTTCCAACCCAGGGCCCTGTGGACTGCAGCTGTCTATAGTGCCTCCTGTAACAGCTGCATGACAGCTACAACTCCCTGGGCTACTTCCCCATGGCCTCCTCCCAACACCTTCCTTATTCTCACCACAGGACCTTCCTCCTGGTGTCTGATAACGCTTGTGCTCCCCAGTCCTCCAGCAGCACTCACTCTCAGCTCCTTACACCTCTTGCTCTCAGCTCCTTACACTACAAACTGAAGTGAGCTCCGTTCAGGGCCGGCTCCAGGCACCAGCTAAAGAAGCAGGTGCTTGGGGCGGCCAATAGGAAGGGGCGGCACTTCGGGCGCTGTTGGGGCGGCATGTCCGGGGTCTTCGGCGGCGGGTCCCTCAGTCGCTCTGGGAGCGAAGGACCTACCGCCGAATTGCTGCAGAAGAGTGGAGCGGCGCGATCGCGCTGCCGCGGCTTTTTTTTTTTTTTTTTTTTTTTGCCGCTTGGGGCGGCAGAAAACCTGGAGCCGGCCCTGGCTCCGTTTAAAACCCAGGTGCCCTGATTAGCCTGTCTTAATTGATTCTAGAAGCTTCTTCTTAATTGGCTCCAGGTGTCCTAATTAGCCTGCCTGCCTTAACTGGTTCTAGCAGGTTCCTGATTACTCTAGTGCAGCCCCTTCTCTGGTCACTCAGGGAACAGAAAACTACTCATCCAGTGACCAGTATATTTGCCCTCTACCAGACTCCTGTACCCCACTGGTCTGGGTCTGTCACACTGCTTACTGAATGCTCCAGTCATGGATCTAAATTTTAAACATAATAACAAATTAATGTCTCTTTTTTTTTATGGTTAGCAGCTAGACGTTGTATTGGATGTTACTTGAAGTATGTAACTCCCTCCCCCCTGGAACTGTGGTGTAGTAAAATATGGACTGTCCTTGTACTAGAAAAGCTTTCTAACCAAGTACATACACAACAAAAAACACCAGAAATGGAGGATAGATATTTGATCACCCTTTCTAGCGAACCTAGAGGAGGACTCCCCTGCCAGCAAGCCAGAATCTTTAGCCAGATTCTTTGAATATTAACCAGATCCTAAATAAATAATGTATGATATTGTAAGTTAATGTTTTATTGTAACTTTGCCTTAATTAAAGTTTAAAAAATAAACTGCTCCATGTTTCTAGTGTAATATTCCAATTTAGATCCATTTCCCAGGAGACATTGCTAACAACAAATATCTAGCAATGTATATAGGTTGATATCACACATTAATTTGAGGTTAACTACTCATCCTGTGCACAAAGCATGAATAAACAGGCTTTTCACGGGAAATCCAGGCATGAACTGGGTGAGGTGACTTTCCCACCCTTCAACCTGGAGCAAAGATATGTAGTAACTGCATAGCCATTCCATGGCCCCTTAAACACTGCAAAGCTGGTATTTTGGTTAGCGGATAATACTTTGCAGACCCACTGGCTACTCTATGAGTTCTACATACGGAAGGCTTGTGGGTTTGGGCTCTACTCCTTGTGAACCCAGAAAGGGTTAACCACTTCACTGGGCAGAAAGGAGGTTAGCCCTTTTAGATTGCACAAGCTGCAAGATGGGCAGTTGTGGCTTATTAAACTTCTAGGAGCTGGAACTGACAGCTGTGCTGCCTAAGTGGGGGAAGTCATAAAAAGGAAGCAGAAGGCCCCAGAGGGAATTAGCTAGCTGCTTTCTAGCTTCATCCTGACTAGGGGAAAGGAGTAACTAGGGAAATTAACTTCCTGCTTGAACTAAGGAGGCCTATACTACTGCCAGAGAGTGACCACAATAAGACTGTTTTTATTTGCTTGTTAGTTGAAGTAAATGGAAAGAAGCTGCCCTGTGTTCTATTACATTTATGATTATAGCCAAGAGAACTGCCCCATCACTGTTATTATTCCAAGGCTGGGAGTGGAATGGATTTTCTATTTTTTGTTTTTAATATAATTTAAAGGGACTGTGACCCTAACCCATAGTGGTAGCTGGCATTCTTGTTCCTGGCTTCATAATAGCAGATTGGGTTTCCTGCTGGAGAAGAAAAGAAAACTGGCAGTGTTCAAGTTGAAGCATCAGAGTCATATATGCTTATAGAGTTATTAATACAATTTTTTAATAAATCAATTTTTAATATATCTATATCTTCAGAAAATGTTAATTTTGCTATCTAAGTCATTGGTCTTTGAAATTATGCTTATCCATGTTCCAGAGCCATTTGAAATTTCTTCCAGTGCTATAGGATACTGGGAATTCAGGAACTTAAAAACATATCTGAGAGAGATGCTAGATAGTCAGGATAAGTAAAATGCTTATGCTTGTAAATTTATATGGAAATTATTACCGACTATATACAGGGAAACCCCGCTATAACGCGCCCCACAATAACGCAAATTCAGATATAACGCGATCATAAGGTGGCTCCGGCCACCCCAAGCAAAAAAAAAAAAAGGGGCGGGAAGCACAAAAAAGAAAAAAAAAAGAAGAAAAAAGAAAAAAACGGCCAGAGCGCCGCCGAAGTGCAAAAAACAAAACAAAAAAGCGTCCGGAGCGCCACCAAAGCGAAGAAAAAAAAAAAAAAATGGAATGTGCCTTCCCCACTGCTTCTTCCCCCTACCCCCGCTTCTCCTTTTGGCGAGAAGAGCCATTCTCCTCCCCAGCTGCTCCTCGCTCTTCCTCTGCCCCTTGCACGTCTCCCCTGCTCTCCCCAAGTGTTGCCCTCTCTCGCTGCATGGCTGAGAGCCCCCACTGCTGGAGCTGCACCCTTTCAGTTACAGTTATGGGCAGTTCGCAAACACAAGTCGTTTTCTGCCCAAGAGAAATTGACCGGCTTGAAACCGACCGGCTTGAAATGGTAAACCTTGCTATACCGCGACCCCGCATTTATCGCGATCTAATTTTTTGGACCCCAATCATCGTGTTATAGCTGGGTGTGACGATGCGGTTTTGGCGGAACCCAACTGCGAGTGCCAACTCAGGACAAATTGCTCAAACAGGGCAGTTACAGCCCAAGGCTGGGGTTTTTTCCACCTCTAAGGCAAACCAAACCAGCCAGACTAAGAGGACTTCGGTCTCACCCCACTGGCTAACCGCAAGTCTCACAAGCAATCTCCTTAGACACTCCAGTTTCCCAGTATCACCACCAGTGCCACTCTTAATGGGGACAAATGGTTATGAAAACCAATACCCAAGTAAAAGAAAAAGGTTCTCCTGATCCCAAAGGACCAAGCCCCAGACCCAGGTCAATATACAAATCAGATCTTACCCACAAATCACGCTGTTGCCAATCCTTTAGAATCTAAAATCTAAAGGTTTATTCATAAAAGGAAAAAGATAGAGATGAGAGTTAGAATTGGTTAAATGGAATCAATTACATACAGTAATGGCAAAGTTCTTGGTTCAGGTTTGCAGCAGCAATAGAATAAACTGCAGGTTCAAATCAAGTCTCTGGAATACATCCCCCGCTGGGATGGGTCCTCAGTCCTTTGTTCAAAGCTTCAGCTTGTAGCAAAGTTCCTCCAGAGGTATGAAGCAGGATTGAAGACAAAATGGAGATGAGGCATCAGCCTTATATAGTCTTTTCCAGGTGTAAGAACACCTCTTTGTTCTCACTGTGGAAAATTACAGCAAAATGGAGCCTGGAGTCACATGGGCCAATCCCTGCATACTTTGCTGAGTCTCAAGGCATATTTGCCTTCTCTCAATAGGTCCATTGTATAGCTGATGGTCCTTAATGGGCCATCAAGCAGGCTAGGCAGAGCTAATCCCAGCTTGTCTGGGATGTCACCCAGAAGCATAGCATAAGTTTGCCATACAGACAGTATAGAGCCAATATTCATAACTTCAACTACAAAACTGATACACACATATAGACAGCATAATTATAACCAGTAAACCATAACCTTGTCTTAGACACCCCATTTGACCCCCTTTATACAAGATTTGGGTGCCACTACAGTACCTTGGTTGCAACAATGATCTATACGGTCCCAGTTTATGTCAATAACGTCACACTGGGTTTCACTGTACATTTTGTATCTGCCATTCCTAAAAGTAAAGTGATTACCTCTCTCTTTGTATTCATTTGGTGAAGGGAACAGAGATGCCCTGTTTTCAAAACATCTCATCTTATTCTGTTAAAGCAGTTTTCTTTAAAATATTGAATTGTTTCACACACTTGTAGGTTTCATTTTCCTTTCTTTAGAAGACAATTAATATACAGTTTGTTTTCACCATATGATAATGTGTTTTTAAAGAATCACGAAGAGATTCTAGAACTATAGTCAAGCTTTAAAGTATCCCAGCTTGGCTACAAGTGACATGTGCTCAGATCAATTTATAAAGAAATGGAACAATTTATAAGCATGCTCCAGCTGAAATTAGTCTCTATGGCAGTTGGCCCAGGGAAACTCTGTGGGCCTTCTGTGCTTTGCAGCTGCAGAAGATAATTGCAAGTGTTAAGGGGAATTATCACCTTCCAGTAGCCAAGCAAAGAATTACTTAAGTCACTTAAGAACTCTATGATTTCCCCCTTCTTCAAGATAGAGTCCTTAACTCACCCATCACAATTGTCCTTACTGACAAATAAAGCTTGTCTTAGACCATATGCATATTGGGAAAATACCATGTTAGGAAACATTCTAACATGCTCCACTGTGATGCTAAACATAACTTAGCAACTAATGTCACCAGGAACAAGTCATGTTTAAAAGCTGGTTAGCAGGTCATGGTTAATATCAGCTTCTCTTTGGCTGGTGAGATGACAGCCCTCCTCCTGTTTCAATCTGCTCTAACCACTATTGAAGTTAGTCAGGGACAGCCAGTCATTAGTACAGTATTGGTGGGGAGAAGAGACAACTGCCCAGAAGCACCGATTGAGAATATCCTGTGCCAGATGAAGAGTGAAACAAAAACTGATACAGACAGGATGAAACACAATGAATTCTTCCAAGCCTATGTTGAGGCTGTATTACAGGCCAAGAAAATCTTCCTTTCAGCCTCCATTGAAGCTCCCAAATCCCATCCCAAGGAGCTATCCAGGGTGGTAAAGCATTACACTAATCCTGAGTGTCTACAGTCTGCATCAGAACCAACTACTAACAGCTGCAAAGAACTATCATCCTACTTCACTGAAAAGAAAATGCACATTTGGGAAGGCTTCTCAAACAACCTGGATCCACTCCACCTGCATCCACCAATCAATAACATGCATTCCAAGAGTTCAGTATATTCACTCAACATGAAATTCTGGACTGTAAGAGAACCCTAAAGGAGTCTCAACCCAAGACTTTTGATCTGATCCATGCCCTTCCTGGTCTGTGAAAGAATCATGGACAATTGGTGCCACTCATGATGAAATCAGCCAATGCCTCCTTCAAGGGAGGAATCTTATCTTCCTCCTTCAAACACATAATTGTATGACCAACACGAAAAAAACCCATCATGGATACATTGGTTCTAGCCAACTACTGCCCATGTCAAATCTTCAGTTCCTTAGCAAGCTCAAAGAGAAGCTAGCCAAAGGCCAACTACAATCCCATCTTGTACAAGACCAAGTACAATCTGGATTCAGAACAAGACAAGGAAGTGAAACTACTTTAGTGGCACTGATGATCTGCTATCAATGGATAGAGGGCAGACATCCATTCATATTCTCTTGGACCTTTCTGAAGCATTTGACTCTGTTGACCATAAGATGCTGCTATCTCACCTGAGTGCTTTGAGTCCTTACTGAAGGGATGCATCCAACAAGTAGCAATGGGAAAATATCTCTGCCACTAGACTGATCACTTGTGGAGTCCAAAAAGGATCAATTCTCTCCTTGGTCCTATTCAACATCTCCATGCAGCTACTAGGTGAACTAGTCAGATGACATGGCCTCAATTGCCAGCAATATGCACAAGAAACACAGCTCTACCTATCCTTCACAACATATGACCTCACCACTACCAAGATGACCCAGGGCTTGGGGGAGATCAGTTCATGTCTGAAGAACTGGTTGAGGCTGAGCGGGACGGAGCATATGCTGGTGGGCATAGGAAAGCATTCTGAAGAGTTTGCAGCCATGGCACAGTTGAAGGTACACACCCACAACAGGTCAATTCAGTCCATAGCTTAGGAGTGCTCCTGGATTCCTTGCTGACACTAAGCTGTCACCTAGCATAAGTAAGTAAGGCTTTCTGCCATCTCCTATTAGCTATCCCATCCTGCAAAATATGGCCTCAGTTATACCTTTATCACCTCTTGTCTGGACTACAGCAATGCAATATACGTGGCCATGAAGGCTTCAGTGCTTAGGAAACTCCAACTGGTACAGAATACTGCAGTGTGTCTCCTCAGCAACAAAGGCTACTGCAAACACAGAAGACCTGTCCTCCACTTTACACTGGCTTGCTATAGAATTTTGAATCACGTTCAAGATCTTGGTCATTATCTTCAAGGTGTTCCATGGCCTGGGCCCAGGATATCTAAAAGAAACAATGGAAATGAAGATTGTGGTTAACAACTCTGTTCCTTTGGACAAGGGAACTTTCTACAATAAGGATAAAACTCATCTGTCCAGGAAACACGGTTTTCTTGGGAACTAGTCCCAGACTGTGGAACAAACTCCCACAGAAAGCAAGGACCATCACAAATTTCACCACCTTCTGCTCCAAGTGCAAGGCACATTTCTTTGACCTTGTGTTCTCTATCATCAGTGTATAGGAGTGTGTGTGTAGTATTATGTGACTTTAACATTCCACTATGCACACTTCTCTTGCTGGGGAGAGGATGACTCATGTGACAGCTTTAGTCACACTGCTTAATGCAGTATTGGAAGGCACTTTTGTCAATGAAAGTAACGTCGGTGTAAAGCCGTCAAAGTTGTTATATCTGCCATTTGTGCATAGCTTGCTGCTTGCATCGGCATTGCTTGTATTAACTAAGAGTGCATGTGTCAATGCAAAGTTTTGTACACCATGGGTAAGCATCCCAGTGTGCTGCATGCTGCCATATGGCACAATGCCTTCTGGGAAGGTTTCACAATGTGTTGTGGGATAGAAATGACTTGCCTAGAAATCTCTGGAAGCTAGGGGTCACGTTCCCTGAGTGCAACTTTCTGCAGCCCATAATGCCATCCATATCCCATAAATTTTCTTGCCTTTTTTTAAAATCCCACAAACCTGTGCAGCCCTCCTTGGTGTCCACCATCTTTCTCCATCGCATGGAGCCTGCACAGCTCTGCACTATTTTAATGAACATTGCAAATATAGTCCAAACAATCCTCCAGTATTTTCAGACCCACAGGAAGAACCGCAACAGTGGGAAACATGATTATTTCTTCGAGGACAGACTATTAAAAAGACATAACAAAAACAATTCAAGGTTATTGGTGGTGTTCGTGGAGCAGCTGCAGATAGTAGAGAATTCCTTCTGGGCCAAGGAAATGAGCACTGACTGGTGGGATCACATCATCATGCAGGTTTGGGACAATGAACAGTGGTTGCAGAACTTTCAGATGCAAAAGGCCAGATTTTTGGATCTGTGTGCTGAGCTCACCTCAGCCCTCGTGTGCAGGGACACTAGAATGAGAGCTGTATTGACAACTGAGCAGTGAGTGGGGATCACGCTCTGGTAGCTTGCAATGCTGAATTCCTACCTGTCAGTGGGAAATCATTTTGGAATTGGAAAGCCCATGGGCGGGGAGGGGCGTTGTCATGCAAGTGTTTAGGGCCATTAATTATGTCCTGGTATACAGGACTGTGACTCCTGGCAATGAGGACATAGTGGATGGATTTGCAGCAATGGGGTTCCTAAGCTGCAGTGGGGCGTTAGCACTCATATCTCTATTTTAGAACCAGCCCTCCTTACCACAGAGTACACCAACAGAAAGGGCTACTTTTTTATGGTTATGCAAGCATTGGCGGATCACTGGGGATGCTTCACCGATATCAGTGTGGGCTGGTCAGGGAAAGTGCATGATGCTTGCATCTTTAAGAACACAGGACTGTTCAAAAAACTGCATGCAGGGACATTCTTTCCCAACCAGCAGATTATCATTGGCGATGTTGAAATACCAATAATAATCCTGGAGCTCCTGCCTACCTCTTGTTTCCCTGGCTCAAGAAGCCATATGCTGACCACATTGACAGCACTAAGGACTGATTCAACTACCAGCTCAACAGGTGCAGAAAGACAGATAAATGTGCTTTTGATAGACTGAAGGGAGGTTGGTGGTGTTTACTCACCATATTAGATCTCAGTGAGAAAAATATCCAAAGGGTTATAACTGCCTGCTGTGTCCTGCATAGCATCTGTGAGGCAAAAGGGAAAAAAGTTGCTCCTGGGTGGAGGGTAGAAATAGAGCAGCTGTCTGCTGAATTTGTACAGCCAGACACAAAGGCCATTACAAGACCTCAATGTGTAGCTATGTGGTTGAGAGAGGCTTTAAAAAGCACTTTAACGGTCAGCCACATTAATGTTCTGTTCTGGACTGTGCTCTGGCCCTGAAGATTTGGGTGCTGTTAAGAACTGTTTAGTGCTTGGTGTACATTTTATACATATAAGACTGTTTTTAATAAACCTATGAATTATGCAGTGCTTGCTCTACAATTACACATATGAGGTGTTTTCTTGAATCTCTGAGTTCTGTGGTGCTGTACACTTACAACAACTGAGTGCTTTAAGTATTGCTGTACATTCTGCAGTATGTGTGGTGAACTAATAAAGATTAAAATACTTTTAAAGAATAGAATTTTATTGAGTGACAAAAGCAGTGCAAAAAAAAAACAAAGCTAAACAAAACCAAAACAAATGTGCAAATAAAAAAGTACAATATAAACTTCGAACTTAAATTAATGCAATGGAACTTTAAAATTAGAAAGGCAGCAAATATTTCTGTCCATTTCAATGAATGTGGTCCATTTTTGCTACACATGCACTTCAGCTTGGTGTGGTAGAGGTAAGGATGCCCAGGAGTCCATGTAGAATGTTGGGGATGTAGGGAGCTGCCACCATGGAGTTCTCCAGGGACCGCAAAGGTGGTAAGACCATGATTGCTGGATCTGCAGGTCAACTAGAGTCTGCAGCATCTGTGTTTGCTGCCTGACAAGTCCCATTATGTCCTGATGCATCTTCCTCTCATGGTGGGAGTCCTGGGTCTTTCTCCATTTTCTTCTGTCCCGCTTCATGCCATCTGCCATGTTGGACCACCAGGATCTTTGTATGCAATCTGATGCAAAACTGCCTGCAGGATCTCGCTGAACACATCCTCCCTAGTGGGCTTCTTTCTCCTCCTCCTCAGGATCAGGGATTCTGTGGGTGTGAAGGGGCAGTTGCTACAGATAAAACAGACAGATGTATGATTGGATTTACAGCCACAATGGAAAGTGAAAGGTAAGTTTAAAAATGGCCTTCCTTTATTCCTATAAAAAAATGTAAGACATGCTTATTGATGCTTCAGCTTTGGAGTGAATCTGCACAGCTTTCCAGACCCAGATATGGTGAGTAAGGCCTGCAAGAGGCAGCGGGGGTAGGAGAGGAAGAGGGCATTACATTTTCAGTTAGAATCATAGATTGCATAAAACAATAAAATTTCAGTCCCTATTTCCATGGGTATGAGTATAAGGTATGAATACTGGCACTGTTTTCCACAGGCAATGGTGATTTTAGCCGATAACTCACTCCTGAGGATAACAAAGGTACAGAGACCACAGCTGCTGCTGGTGTCCCCAAGATGCCTGGGCTCGTATGCTGCTACCTGTTTCATGCAATGGTGCCAGCCAAGTTGGCCAACCTCATTGTGGAGCGTTGTTGGAAAGTGTCCTATCACAGAGGAAGAAATAAGGCAGCCAACCTTAGGAACCTTTGGGAGAAGACTACAGAGTATCTCCAGGAAAATTTCATCAAAATCTCTCAGTAGGATACAAGGGACATCCCTGGATACGATAAACAGACTACTCTGCTTTCTCTCCACCCCCTGCCTAACCCTATAGGGAAATGAAAAGCAGATAATAACTCTACCTCTGTTTATGGTACCACTACTTCTTCTCATACAAGTAAAACAATGAAAAGTTGATACCTGAGTCTTGTTAACTTGGGGATAGACCAGGTGCCATCTTCACATGTAAACATTGTAAAGGAAAATGCATGCACAGGTTTATCCGAGGTTCCTTCCCCTTCATTGGGTTTGGCAGGAAGGACAGGCTAGACTGCAGTGCAGTCTCGATTGGTTCCTCCATGCCACATCTCTCCTCCTTCTTGTTCACGGCATGCCTCTCTGTCTCAGGCTCCTCTAAGGTATGCATGGTGATCTGTGGGGTGCTGCTGGGGTCTCCACCAAGTATGGCATACAGCTTGTTGTAAAAGTGGCAGGTCTATGGCTCAGCACCAGAATGAGAGTTGGCCTCCCTGGCCTTGTGATATGCCTGCCGCAGTCCCTTTGCTTTCATGCAGTACTGCTGCTGATCCCTGTCATACCCCTTTGCCTGCATCCCCTGTGGAATCTTTTCGTAGATGTCCACATTTCTACGACTGGTCCGTAGCTGTGCCTGGACAGCCTCTTCCCTCTGTAGGTCCAGGAGATCCAGTATCTCTTGTCTACTCCAGGCAGGAGTGCATCTAGTACATGGAGCCAGCATGGTCAGCTGGGCAGCTGTGCATAAGAAGAGAGAGTTGCTAGGTGAGCTTGTGGGGTGTTTTAAGGGTGGGGGCTTCCGGTCTCCGTGACCCTTAGGCAGTGGAGTTCACAATTGTGATCAGAACAGTCACTGTCAGGCATTGTGGGAGGTGTGTTAGGGTTGACATAGAGAGATAACTTGAGTGGCACAATATCTTTTATTGGACCAACTTCTGTTGGTGAGAGAGACAAGCTTTCGAGCCACACAGAGCTCTTCATAAGGGTTGACATAGGTCACACAGTGTCTACACTTGCACTGTGTCAACCTCTATCACTCAACCATGCCTGATTGCTGTTCAGGGAGGCAGTTAGGTTGCGTAAACTGGGTGCTTCTGTTGGCCAGAGATAAATATGAGCGTAGACTCATGGACAAATAGGTTGACATGAGATGACTTACACTAACCACACTTTGTAGTGTAGACCATGTCTCATATACTATGGTGATGAGTGTAGTATCAGAACCTACAGAGTACAGAATAGCCGCTGGGTGCTGAGCTCTTTTAAAAACTGGCTCTAACTTTATTTTTAGGCACCTAAGTAAGTGATCTGCTTTTTTCCCCAAAAGTGCTGAACACACAGCAGCTTCCGTGTCTGCAATAGCAACTTCAGGCACCTGTTTTTTGGTGGTTTTTTTGGTGAATCTTGTTTTAGGAACAAAAAGGAAATAGTTAGAACACCTCTCCATATGCTCCTACATAACTTTATAATTTAAGAAAGAACTGTGGAGAATGAGCTGTGAAGCCCTTGCTCTTCCTCCTTCCATCCCACCCTCTCTTCTACCAGAAACTGCAAAGATTAGAACACAGAATAAAGTCTAACACCTGTTTGGATGCAAGTGGGATGGAGAATAAGCACCACTGAGTTATCTGGCTTTCATCTTGATTAAACTTTCATATAAAAGATGAAAGTTAAAGGGAATTGGAGAGGGTGAGAGACTCAACAATTGGTGGTTGTGTATGCAAATTCCTCTAGATTTGAGCTTCCATGTAAATCTGGTCTTTTTGCTCAGTGATCAGCCCATGAACAAAGTGAGATCTGCAACATTCCAGATCAATATGTGCAGTTCAGAAGGTGGTGGATACCTCCACCATAAATACATTAACAGTGCATGCTTAACCTGTACAAGTATGTGGAACGTGAACACTTGCTAGAGTTGTAATTAGTGAGGGAGATGTGTGGGATGTAGATAGTGTTTCCTTATCAGTCACAGTCTGAGACAGAAGGAAGTGCCTTGTGAAGATGCCAGTTTGTCAATGGCAGTGTGGATTCGCGGGCATGGTTATGAAGTATTTTGTAACCTGGTATTTTCTTGCTGCTTAGGCCATGGGTGATTTCCAAACGGAAATGTTGTAAAACGGAGTATTTCAAAATATTTAAAAATGGAATATTATAGAATATGATGATGGGCGATCACTCATTACCGAGTATGATCATCTTCCATGGGAGTTATGCATCCTCAGGTGGCTAATAAGGCCAATCCTTGAACCACAAGTTCTATTGCAATGAGGGCAGATGTTTTCAGGCTCAGCAGGAGGTTGTTGACCATGACTGGAAGCCAGTCTCTCCTTCCTTCTGCGCCTCTTGTCCTCTTCAGCTTGTCGCTGAGCAAGTTCAAAATGCAGGGGACCATCACGTAGGACTTCACTCTATTTTAAGCGATCCTGGGCAAGTGTCTCCCAAGTGTCAACGTCAATATTACTTTTTTAGGTTGTCCTTCAGTAAGTCCTTATAACGCTTCTGTTGTCCACCTACGTTACGGTACCCTTCTTTCAGCTGAGAGAAAAGGACCTGTTTTGGGAGGCGATGGTCTGGCATCTGGACAACGTGACCAGTCCAGTGGAATTGCTGACGGACAACCTATAGACACCACTTGAAAGTCCTTGAGAGGCACCATCAACGCTGCCTTCCTAAGATTCTGAAGATCAAATGGGAAGACAGGTGCACCAATATTAGTGTCCTGGAAGAGGCACAGACCACCAGTATTGAGGCAATGATCATGCGCACCGTGACCGAAAGCCTGGGGCTGGCGGGGCTGGGTGCGAGTAGCCCGTGTGTGTCACGCCCACGTGTCTCAGGGCAGCGGGTGGCCGCTGTACCGCTCGCCCCGGGTTGATGCCCGCTCCCGAGGCCACCAGGCGGGTGGAGGCGCTGGGGAGCGCGGTAGGGTGACAAGCTCGCGCTCCACGGGCTCGCCGAGCTCAGGCAGGCGGCGGGGCGAGTCTTCACCAGGCTGGGTGACGGGCTGACTCCACACACACACCCCCCCCCACATGGAGACAGCGGGCCCCGCTCCGCCCAGGGAAGGCAGCTGGCGTTCCCCAGCCTTTCCTTTCCCCCTTTTATTAGACGGGGTTTTCCCTCCGCCGCCCACTTACCCCGATGTTACCGCCTCCGCGCCGCTCTGCTCTGCTCAGGGAGCGGACCCTGAGGGCACAGTGAAGGCAGAGAGGCTTCGTTGCTGCCAGTGCGCATGCTCGGCTCTCTCGGGCATGCGTATTGGTAACGAGGGAGCCGAATCTCACGCTGTCCCCTGAGCCGTTCCCGCCCAGGGGCGGGGCGGCCTGACGCAGAGCGCGGCAGGCGGAGGAAGCCCCGGGGAGGAGGCGGGGCTCGTTCAGCGAGCGGCGCAGGCGGCCAGGCCAGGATGCGCCTGGCATCCCGCGGCAGGCAGCCCGC